AGGAACTTCACGGATGGAGGGCGGTTCCTTTTCATTATGTGGCTCTCGCCTTAGCTCACCGCACTTTCGTTGTTATAGCGCTTCCAACGATTAGCATGGTTAACGTCTCAGAAGTGGTGATATGGCGTGATGTCGGACTGCAGGGCACAACAGTTGCATTGATTCGTGGATTCGAAGTCCCCAGAACTGTTTTTTGGCACGACTCAGGGCCGCTAAGACGCAACAGTAATGATGATTCGCGGCGTTGGAGTTCCAGGAATGGTGTTTCGGAACGGTTCATGATTTTCTAGCGGTTGTTTTCCAACGCGGCACCACCTTCAGTCAACATTTACCCTGCTATGGACCCATGGAGAGGGAACTTGAAGGGTTGAATGAGTCTTGGCTTTGCACTGGCCCTATTCCTCCTCCTCCTCTCCCTCCCCTTCCTCCCCCTCCTCCTCCTCCTCCTCCTCCTCCTCCCCCCCTCTCCTCCTCCCCCTCCTCCTCCGCCCCCCCCGCCCCCACTCCCACCCCTCCTCCCCCTCTCCCCTCCCCCTTCTCCTCCTGCTCTCCCGCGGGGCCGAGAACTCCCTCTGTGGCAGCTCCTGCGAGCGATCGCTGCGCGCCCGGGGGCAAGTAAAAGGGGGCGGGCCTCCTCAGGAAAGCTCGGAAGTTTTAGGTCGGACGTGTCCTCCTACAGGCGGATTTTGGACGAAAAATAAAGAAGACCCACAGCATGTTCAAACAGAGCCAAACAGTGCTCAAACCATCGTCCCCAGACTACTTTTCTGCCTGTTCTTGAATTTTCCTCCTGTAGAGGGACACGCCCGACTCAAACCTGGACTCCTGACGAATTTCCTGAGCCTTCCCTGGGGACACCGATCACTTCTCAGAAGGCCGGAAGGCTTCCGCCAAGCCCCGCCGCCTTCTGAGAAGGCCCCCTTCCCCCTGTGGAAGCTCATGTCGGCGGCGACGGGACGGGAAAATGTGCGTGCGTCGTTGTCGGCCTCCCAAGGCCCTCACCGGGCCTCCAGGCCGTCAAAAAACAGCTCAGGAAGAGAAACAGGTCCTTAGAGGGAAAAGAACTATGCACATGCACCGATTCTGGCCAGGCCCATCCTGAGCCCAGGATCGGTGCATACGCCCTCCTACCTTGGCCAGGAAGGCATATGCACAGATCCTGGGCTCAGGATGGGCCTTGCCAGGATCGGTGCATGTGCATAGTTCTCTTCGCCCGACCTGGGGAACGGGTCGGGGCTTCCCGGGACCGCGTTCGAGCGACGAAGGGAAGCGAGCCTCACGCGAGATGACGGAGCGACCTTAGGCGGTTGCTTGCGCGGGCCGCCAGCGCGGCACGCCATGCAGGAGAACGAGAACGCGGAACTACGCGCGGCCTTACACGGGCAGCTTACGCGCCAAAATCGGTGGGGACGACACAGTTTTCGTGAGTCACCCATGCAGATGAGCGACATCCGAGCTCAACCTACCCTGAGGTGCAACGTAGGGGAGGGGGGGCTCGCTCAGGGGGGAACACCGACCCAGAATCGGCGATACATCGCCGGTATATCGGCGACAGGCCCCCGATAGCCAAATCGTATGTTCCTGGGCGGGGTGGGCTATCGGGCCCCTGCCGGCGATCAATGGGCAATTCGGGTTCGATGTATCCCGCCACTGAGCCTATCGCCCCCTACGTGTATCGTTGCCTCTGATACCCCCTCCAACTATCGATTATCCTGAATTGATGGGAAGGGGTAGTGTTCGGACTTGGCCACGTGTTCGACGAATTTCGAACCCTACCCCCGCCGCCGATGGAGTTGTTTGAATAGTTGATCGGCGTGGGTAATGTTCGGATTTCGGGGTCGTCGATCATGGGAGCCGATCGTAGGAGCCTCCCATGTCATCTTGTTGGCTCTTGCGAATCGACGCTGACCGTCGCTACTCGACGCTACGCGGCGCTAGACGACGCGACGCTAAATCTACGCTAATCGACACCAAATTTGCGCTTTCAATCGACTCCCAGGCGCCAGCGCACTCTAATGCACTCTACACTCACCGCGCTACTACAAGGAACGCGCAGTGAGGAGCGAGGGGGCTTTTCTGGCCAAGGCGGGACTGGATCCACGACACAAGCCGAAGGATCGTGTAGAACATCCGAGCCCCTCCTGAGCCCAAAGTGGTCCTCATTTCAGCGCCTTTCCTGCAAATGTGAAGGGGCCCTGGGACACACAACTAAATACATACAAATAACAGGATTCCCTATATTTTCAATGATTTTCTAGGTTTTTGTCTTTCCCCCCATTTCCCATATTTTCCCATATTCTCTGGTCAATCGAGGATGAATTGTGTCTGTGTGTTCCTTCCCTTCCTGAAAATGTGCAGCCGGGCTCAGGGCAGAAGAACAGTTCTCAAGCACCCGAGACCTCCGTCGGCCAAACTGAGCAGTGCACATTCGAGGCTGCCCTCCCCCTGGGTGTACAAAAACATGTTTGATCCGCGGGTAGAGAGCGCACCTCTTCCGGTCGAAGCTAAGCGGGCCGCGCGAAGCTTGAATTAGGCAGAGATGGGGCAGGAAGAGGGGGGCGCAGCCTCAGAACGAGGCCGGGAGGAGGCAAAGCCTCGGAATCAGGCGGTGCCGAAGCCGACGTACTGGCAAAGGAGCGCCTTCGGGTGCACAAAAACATCCAACAAGCACCAAGAACACTAGGTCGGAGGGCCGCGCCAGATCGCCGATACATCGCCGATGCATCGGCAACGCCTCGGCGATGCATCGGCGACGTCGGCGACGCATCGGCGACGCCGGCGTAGGGAAACACGGGCTCCACATCGAGCCGCACCGTCGATGCGTCGGCGGTGCCGCGCGATCCTCCGACCCCGTCTTCGCGGACCCCATCTGGGAGGCCCAGAAACGAGCGCGAGGAACACGAGGGTGCCCTCCCCGAGCCGACCTCGAGCCTCCACCTCGGCCCACAGCTGCGCCCCCCGGTACCCGCGCGTCTCGTAGCCCCCGAGCTCCTGCCGGCAGGGGCCGCGCCGCTCGAGGAGGCTGGCGCCGGGACCCCCCCCTGGACGCGGGAGGTGCCTTTTTGCTGCGTGTGCTCTGCGCCGAGCGAGGGGGGGAATGGACACGATGTGGGGATTTCTCCACGTCTGGCGCCGCGCACCAGGGGGGTGGAGGGAGGGGGGAGGGCCTCTCAGAAGGAGGCTGCTTCTTAGAGGGCGCCAGCCTTACATCTACAGATGAGGCCCAGGCCTTCTAATAAGCAGGGGTGCTTCTAAGACGCCATCCCCCCTCCCCTGTACAAATTCCCGCCTCGGAACTGAAAAGGGGCGGGCCTTCTCAGTCGGGGATGGACTGACCCAGGTCCATGCAGACCCGGGTCAGTCAGGCGTTGCCAGATCCTGCAAGATCCTGCACCCGAAGCCAGGTCAATGCGTCAATGCGACCCTGGCCCTGCAGGACCCTGCAAGATCCGGCGCTCTGGTTGACCCCCGTTGGCATTGAACCCCCGTCCCTTGAGCCCCGACTCGAAAGGCTCGGAAATCCCCCAGCCTTCTGAGGAGCGTCCGAAGCCTTTCCCGGAGACGCAGAACACCTCTCAGAAGGTACGAGGGCTTTTGTGAAGCCACGCCGCCTTCTGAGAAGACCTACTCCGTTTCGCTTCCCCCCCTCGCTCACCGCGGATATTTCCGGCAACGGTCGTTACCCAAAAAGGGGAGGACAAAAAGGTGTCAAAGTACCCCATATTAAGACGAAGCCAGGACGAGGACAACTTCGGTTAACTACAGGGGGATTTTCGACGAACAATAAAAAATACCCAAACATAATCCAAAAATAGTCCAAAAATAATATGGTGACTATTTTTGGATTTTTGTTTGACCTGTTTGGGAGTATTTTTGGGGTATGTTTTTTTTTTTCGTCGAAAATCCCCCTGTAGGGGGACAGGCCCGATTTAAAACTTCGGCTGGGGATACATCAAGAATGCGGCAGGCTCCCGCCTCGCCCAGCGGCGCGTGCCCGCGATGCCCCCCGGTGGGTGCACCGGGAGGACGGCCACGTCAGCACTGGAAGGATGCGTCAAAAATAGAGGGGCCCAGGGACACACAAAGAAATAGGCACAAATAACAGGATGCCCCATATTTTCATACATTCTCTGGGTTTTCGTCTTCCCCCGCACGTCCCATATTTTCCCATATCTTCCTGGGAGTCGACGATTAATTGTGTCTGTGTGTTTCTTCCCCTCCTGAAGGAGGCGCTGCAATCGACGATCGTCCCCGAGGCCCCTGCCACTTCGCACCAATGCGCCGGGTGGGTCCCGAGCCGGGGCCGCGAGACCCGAAGCGTCCACGTCCGCGCGCACCCCGACGAAGGAGGGGAAGCGCGGCACGCCATCCCGCGTGAGCTCCTGGTAGCGATACGTGACGACCTCGCCCACCCGCGGCGGATCACGGCGCTGGGCGTCCGAGAAGCCGGCGCCCACGCAGAAGGTGACGCCCGCGCGGCTCCGGCAGCGCAGGGCGCCTAGGACTCCGGCGTTCCTGCCCTTGCCCGGCTCGTGCGCGACAACCACCGCCTCGTCGTCGCTGATGACGGGCCTGTTCTCCACCACCACCACCACAAGTTGGAGGGGGAGGGGGTCCTCCTCCTCCTCCTCCTCCTCCTCCTCCTCCTCCGCCTCTTCGTCCTTCTCCTCCTCCTCCGCCTCTTCGTCCTCCTCCTCCTCCTCCTCCTCCTTCTCCTCCTCCTCCTCCAACTCCTCATTCTCCTCCTCCTCCTCCTCCTCCTCTCCCTCCAACTTGTGGTAGTGGTGGTGGTGGAAAACAGGCCCATCAGCTGAAGCTCTTCACCTTCAGCAGGGACGCGTCGCGTCCGACACAGTAGGCGCTGCCCGGCCGGCGCAGCATGAGGCCCTCCCCGCCCAGCTCCTCCACGCGCTTCTGCTCCCTGCTCAGGTGCTCCAACGACTCGCACAGAGCATGAGGGTGGACCCTGACCCTCAGGTTCCCGGCCAGGCGCCTCTCGGCAGCCTCGAGCCTCGCCTCGAAGCCTCCTGGCGCTGCAGGTGCGTCGAAGACGACGTAGCGCACCGCGGCCCACTCGCGCACACCGCTCGCGCCGTTCTTGATCACGCTCATCATCGACTGAACGCAAGAGTGACCCTGGGTGCGAGTGATCTTCGGTGCGCTGCCTTGTGGGGGCCACGGGGGGGGCGAGCACAAGCGTGCACGACGCAACTGTCGCGTCGCACGCACTCGGTGATCGGGGGACTCCGGTGGGCCCGCACCGAAGGTCACTCCGGCGAAAGGTCGCTCTTACGCGCAGTCGGCATCAGCTCCTGGAACCTGCCGCGCCCCAAGAACAGCTCCCCGTCCAGCGGAAAACCGGCAGGCAACTCGTCGCCCAGGCCTGCGTTGAAGTCGGGCCCGTCCCCCTGCAGGGGGGATTTTGGAAGAACCACAAGAAATAGTCAAAACATACAGCACTCCAGAAATAACCCAAAATACTAGAAAAATCGTCCCCATACTATTTGTTAGCTATTTTTGACTGTTCCTCCTGTAGAGGGACAGGCCCGGCTCAAGCCTGCGTCGGGGCACCGGACCTCGTTGCCGGTCCGCGAGAGCAGGCGGTGCCCGTCCCAGTAGCCACGCATGCCGTCCAGCTTCTCGCTCATCAGCCACCCTGTGGGATCGACCTTTCGGCTGAACTTATGATGTTCCAACCTGCTTTAGCCCTGATCACAAGAAAGAATTCCGAGCACCAGAAAAGTACCCACACCCGAGGGTTTTGACGTGTGGGGACCTGGGAGACACTCGTCCGACACTACTTCGACACTGTTTCGACACTTTTCCGGGTGCTCGAAATTATTTCTGGGCTGTGGTCCTGAAGTACGTTGTGAGCAACATACAGGACAGTTTATAATACAGCGGATTCTTAAACATATGAAACTTTTAATACATGATCAAGTTATGAATGAATTAATGCATAAAGTCATCCTTGTATAGATTAATCAACCTTTTTATTTTCGATACATGGTCCGCACGCGGAGCATGTATTAAAAACGGCCCTGTAAGGCTAAACCGCAAGCGTGACCCTGGGCGAGGGTGCCCTGGTGCGCGGCCGAACGGGGGACGCGGGGAGGCCGAATCTGGGCGCGCAGGCCGCTGCCACCGCTCCGCGTGCGGCGATCGGGGGGCCCCATTGGAGCCCGCATCAAAGGCCACTCCTCGGGAGACCAAAATGCACCGATACCGCTATCCCCCGGACCTCTCCCTGGGGTTAAGTCGGGCGTGTCCCCCTACAGGGGGATTTTCGACGAAAAATAAAATTATCCCGGCAAAGCAACCTAACAGCGATGTGTAGGAGCATATCTGGAAGCATTCCCCTTAAGATTCAGCTGTTCTCGCAGTCGTAGTCGCATTTGCGATGACAGTCGCAGTGGCAACGGCAGTCGCAGTCACAGCCTCAGCCTCAGCCTGCCTCAGCCTCAGCCTCAGCCTGCCTCAGCCTCAGCCTGCCTCAGCCTCAGCCTCAGCCTGCTTCAGCCTCAGCCTCAGTCTGCCTTCAGCCTCGGCCTCAGCCTCAGCCTGCCTCAGCCTCAGCCTGCATCAGCCTCAGCCTCAGCCTCAGCCTGCCTCAGCCTCAGCCTGCCTCAGCCTCAGCCTCAGCCTCAGCCTGCTTCAGCCTCAGCCTCAGTCTGCCTTCAGCCTCGGCCTCAGCCTCAGCCTGCCTCAGCCTCAGCCTGCATCAGCCTCAGCCTCAGCCTCAGCCTGCCTCAGCATCAGCCTGCAGCCTCAGCCTCAGCCTGCCTCAGCCTCAGCCTCAGCCTTCAGCCTCAGCCTCAGCCTCAGCCTCAGCCTCAGCCTGCCTCAGCCTCAGCCTGCCTCAGCCTCAGCCTCAGCCTCAGCCTCAGCCTGCCTCAGCCTCAGCCTCAGCCTGCCTCAGCCTCAGCCTCAGCCTCGCCTCAGCCTCAGCCTCAGCCTCAGCCTCAGCCTGCAGCCTCAGCCTGCATCAGCCTCAGCCTCAGCCTCAGCCTGCCTCAGCATCAGCCTGCCTCAGCCTCAGCCTCAGCCTCAGCCTCAGCCTCAGCCTCAGAGCCTCAGCCTCAGCCTCAGCCTCAGCCTTCAGCCTCAGCCTCAGTCTGCCTTCAGCCTCGGCCTCAGCCTCAGCCTGCCTCAGCCTCAGCCTGCATCAGCCTGAGCCTCAGCCTCAGCCTGCCTCAGCATCAACCTGCCTCAGCCTCAGCCTCAGCCTGCCTCAGCCTCAGCCTCAGCCTCAGCCTGCTTCAGCCTCAGCCTGCGCCTCAGCCTGCCTCAGCCTCAGCCTGCCTCAGCCTCAGCCTCAGCCTGCTTCAGCCTCAGCATCAGTCTGCCTTCAGCCTCGGCCTCAGCCTCAGCCTGCCTCAGCCTCCCTCAGCCTGCCTCAGCCTCAACATCAGCCTGCCTCACTGAGGCATTCAAAATGTGGCCCCGGAATAAAGTTCTGGGAACTCGAAGAACACGAAGTGGCCTACAGTTCGGCTCCGGGCATTCAAAATCATACCCAGGAATGGAGTTCTGGGAACTCGAAGACCACGAAGTGGCCTACAGTTGGCTCCGGGCATTCAAAATCATACCCAGGAATGGAGTTCTAGGAACTCGAAGACCACGAAGTGGCCTACAGTTGGCTCCGGGCATTCAAAAGCATGCCCAGGAATGGAGTTCTGGGAACTCGAAGAACACGAAGTGGCCTACAGTTGGCTCCGGGCATTCAAAATCATGCCCAGGAATGGAGTTCTGGGAACTCGAAGACCACGAAGTGCGTTACTGTTGGCTAAAAAGGAATCCCCGGTTTTCCCCGGCACCCGTCCGGCATCTGCCCACACCTCCCTGGGGAGTCATGATGCTCCCTTTTGAGCCCACTAGAAACATATCAGTCTTCGCTGTTAGGTAAATACTCAACAAATACACCAAAAAGGTAAAACAGATACTTTAAATAGTCCCCTGACTACTTCTTACTTTTTTTTGTTTAAAAAAACCCTGTAGAGGGACAAGCCCGACCTCTCCCTGGGCGCATTCTGACCAGGATTTCGAAGCGGATCCAGCGGTGACGACGAGAGCCTCCCAGGAGGCCCACACGAGGGAAAAACGGCGAAAGGGCAGCGGTATTGGTACGCTACTCCCCGGACCTCTCTCTGGGGTGCATTCTGACCAGGACTTCGAAGCGAAGCCGGCGGTGACGACGAGAGCCCCCCAGGAGGCCCAAACAAGGGAAAAACGGCCGAAGGGCAGCGGTATTTGTACGCTACCCCGTCGGACCTCTCCCTGGGGTGCATTCTGACCAGGACTTCGAAGCGAAGCCGGCGGTGACGACGAGAGGCCCCCCAGGAGGCCCAAACAAGGGAAAAACGGCCGAAGGGCTGCCGTCGGGGATGGACAGACCCCCGTTTAGCAAAACGTGGTTTAGTGGTGCAACGACCTGAGGCCCAAACCTGGCGGGCGCAAGCCTGGAAAATAACGGCCACGGCGCCCTCTCGAGAACCGAAAACGGACAATTCACTAATCGACGTGTCACTGTTGGGGATTCTGTTGGGGAGCCCACAAAGGACGTACGCGCCCAGCTATGTACATGAACACGGCCCCTCGATCTGCGAGACCGGCCGCGTGATACGAACTTTCGGGCAATGCGTACTCTCGAAACCGGCGTGGATTCATGTACGTGTACGTCCTTCTTTCGCTCCTGATCTGTCCACCCCCGAAGCGGTATTGGTACGTTCTCTCCTCCTCTGGACTCTGGTGCGGACGGGCGGCAAGGGCGCACGGGCCTTGGACGCCGACTTTGGCACGGCTTGGGCGGCGGGCTGCCAACACTGAAGGGGCCCCAGGACACACAAATAAATACACACAATCAAAAATATGCCCCATATTTTCCCATATATTTTTTGTATGGGGTTCTGTCTTCCCCCCCGCTTCCCATATTTTCCCATATTTTCTGGGGAATCGACGATTCATTGTGTCTGCGTTTTTTTTCCCTCCTGAACTGCTTGGGCGGCGGGCTGCCAACACCCTGAGGAGTTGGCCAATGAAAACCAATGAAGGACGGGCCGCAAAGGCACGGGACGCAACGGCACCCTACGTAAGGACACCCGTGCGTCCTTACTACGAGTTTTGACTGTACGTCTGTTCGGACCTTGCCCAGCTCCCACTTCTTTGCCAGCAGCACCCCCGAGAAGCCCGGCGCCGGGCCGCCGCCGCCGGCCGCCGCTGCCCGCCCAGCGCCCGCCGCGGCGGCAGCTCGGGCGCCGGTGGGCGCTTCGTGATGGGCCAGTCTTGCACCACCACTGCCATAGGTAGGACGGGGGAGAGGGAGGAGGAGGGAGGAGGAGAGGAGGAGGAGGAGGAGGAGGAGGAGGAGGAGGAGGAGGAGGAGGAGGAGGAGGGAGGAGGAGGAGAGACGACCAGGAGAAGGATGAGGGGGAGGAGGAGGAGGGGAGGGGAGGAGGAGGAGGAGGAGGAGGAGGAGGGAGGAGGAGGAGGGGGGAGGAAGGGGAGGTCCTCCTCCTCCTCCTCCTCCCTCCTCCTCCTCCTCCCCTCCTCCCTCCTCCTCCCTCCTCCTCCTCCTCCTGCCTCTCCTGCCTATGGCAGTGGTGGTGGAAGCTCGGCCCATCACTTCGGAGCGCGGAGCAGCTCCCGACTCCGCAGCGCCACAGCCCAGGGCACTCGCGGATCGACCCGGGGCGCCGAGGTCTCCTGAAATCCGGGCGGCCTCTTGGCGGCGCGCACAAGGGGGGTATGGGGGAGGGGGGAGCTTCTTAGGAGGAGGCTGCTTCTCAGAAGGCGCCGGCCCTGCATCCAGAGAGAAGGCCCGCGCCTTCTAAAAACCCTCCCCCTATCCCCCCTGCGCGTGGCCGAGCCTCAGCAGCACCAAAGTGCTGCTGCAGGTGCTTGCAGCTCCGCTCGTTCACGGGGACGCCCTTGCGGAAGCGCCACGCGGGGCAGGTGCACGTCAGCACGCCGCCGCCAGTATTCTTGACGGTGTAGCCCCCGACCTGCGCCGACGCGCCAGGGGTCAAGATGGAGTCGATGGCCTGCGGCTCCTCGCCTCTGCTCGTGCCTGGCGTCAGTGAAGGGGCCCCAGGACACACAAATAAATACACACAAATAAAAATACGCACCATATTTTCCATATTTTCTGGGTTTTTGTCTTCCCCCCCACTTCCCATATTTTCCCATATTTTCTGGGAATCGAGGATTAATTGTGTCTGTGTGTTTCTTCCCCTCCTGAGTCAGAGAGGTCGCAGGGCCGCCTGTGCCCATGGGGAGTGCCTGCGCCGCGCTCCGGCGCTCCTCCGCAGCGGCAGGCGCAGCAGCCGGGCCATGCGCGGTCCGAAGCCGCTTTGGGCACCTCTCCTGTGAAGGGGAACTGGGACACACAAATAAATAGACACAAATAAAAAGATTCCCCATATTTTCCCATATATTCTGGGTTTTTGTCTTCCCCCCCCACTTCCCATATTTTCTTGTATTTTCCTGGGGATCGACAATTAATTGTGTCTGTGTGTTTTTTCCCCTCCTGATCCTGGCCCGCGCGCTCACCCTCCCAGGCTGGCCCGTCCTCCGCGCGGCTCGCCAGGCACGCAGGCGAGCCCGGCTGCGTCGACTCGTCGCCGCTCTCGCACCCCCCGAGCAGGTCGGCCGGCTGCTCCGCGGCCTCCGGCGGCGCCGCCGCCGGCGCGCCCTCGTGCTCGCCGGGGCCCTCGGGCGGCGCTGCCGCAGCGAGCGCGCGCTCGCGCGCGCCGGGCGCGGGGCCCCCGCACGCGCAGCAGTCGGCGCGGCCAGGGGCATTGCGCAGCGTGCAGCGGGGGCAGGCCCACCCCGGCTCCGCCTCGCGCGCAGGCGGCGCCGGCGAGCCGCAGGCCCGGCAGAGCTGCTGCAGGCCGCCTCCCGAGGGCCCACTCCTCCTCCTCCTCCTCCTCCTCCTCCTCCTCTTCTTCTTCTTCTTCTTCCTCCTCCTCCTCTTCTTCTTCTTCTTCTTCTTCCTCCTCCTCCTCCTCCTCCTCCTGCTCCTCCTGCTCCTCCTCCTCCTCCTCCTCCTCCTCCTCCTCCTCCTAGGAGAACGTGGCAACCGACACGTGCACTTGGCATGCCCGGGTGGGCACGCAAGCCATGCGTGTGATGCCCGACAGGAAACGCTGCTGATAACCAACAGCGGCCGCTGCCGGGCAGGCCACGCTTCATCTCGAGTGAGCAAAGCCCAGAGCGGAAACGACGAGTCCTGCTCAAAAGGACCTGCTGTCGGTTTTCCTCCCCACTCCATCCGTCAGTCCCCATTTCGAGCGTACCGACACGTAGCAAGTAACGTTCGCCAAAGAGCCGCTACTCCCTGGACCTCTCCCAGGGTGCGTTCGGACCAGAAAGTTGTGGATAATCTAGCCGTGGCGACGAGGGCTCTCCAAGACGAGCAATGGTATCGGCCATTTTTCGCACGTCCAGTCTTTACGCACACGTTTGCGGGCCCTCCGTGCCTGGATTGTCCAGCGTACAGCGACTGCAGCGCCAGGTTGGAGCTGTATCACTTGGGACCGCCGGCTGCTCGCCGAACGAGCCCTGCGCCGCAGACGCATGAGGCGCCACTGGCGGTGCAGCCTCTGGGGGCCTCCTAGATGATGTCGGAGCAGATGAGGTCGGAAGATCGCGCCGCATGGGCGATGCATTGCCGATTCATCGCCAGTGCATCGGCGATGCACCGGCGACGTCGCCAATGCGTCGGCGACGTCGGCGTGAGAAAGGCTCCACATCGAGTTGCATCCTCGACGCGGCACTGTCCACCGACCCCATCTACTCCGACGCCATTCAGGAGGCCTAGAGCCTCGATGCGGCGCAACCTTCGCTCAAACCCGCGGGCGCTGATCTGGCACATCCTCAAGAGGTCGACCGCGTACGTGCCGAAGGGAGGCAACTCAAGTCGCTCCAGCCGTGGCACACCCTCCCTGAAGGCACCCTCGAGCTCGGCGCACGCAAATTGGGGATAGTCCTTCCAGGTTTCTGAGCTCCGGTCCCACCACTGCCACTGGTGGTGCTGGGGGCGGTCTGCAGGGACTGGCCGTGCGGCCTTGCACGCGGCACACGTCTCCATGACAGCAGAATTCTCCAGCGTACATCGCGGGCATGTCCAAACGGCCATCGCGCAGTAGCGAAAGGTGGCGAAATTGCGTTGCAGCTCGAGACGAACTAAGACGTGCGCAGTGCGCAACACATTGGATCCTGGCACTTGCGTGCGAGTCTGTACGATGTGGTGCACAAGTGACCCACTATGGTTTGGTCTGTAATGTCGGCTTCAGGCCAACTTCACCGTATAATGTCATGTTGAGCAACATGTTTGCCAGCGTGGACCCCCGAACGTGGGATCTTGGACTTTCCTCGTGCGTCCTACGTGTTGCAATACGCGCATCTGGATACATAAATATGAATATACACCTGATGAAACGAATGAACAGCGACGTGGCGCAAACCAGGTGCTGCAACCTGTGATGTGAAAGCTACGAGCTATGCGGCGCAATCAACGTGACGCAGGCTATGCGGGGCAAGCTGCGGGGCTCATCTTTGCAAGCTGCCAGCTATGTGGTGCAATCTCTGCGGCGGTGCAAGCTACGAGAAGCGCCCTGCAGCGCGAGCCGACGTGCGCGGCAGAAGCGGAGCGGGCACGGGCGGGCTCCAGGCCGAGAACCACAGAACTGAAGGGGAACTGGAACACACAAATAAATACACACAAATAAAAATATTCTCCATATTTTCCGATATTTTCTGTGTTTTTCTCTTCCCCCCCACTTCCCATAGTTTCCCACATTTTGGAGGGAATCGAGGATTAATTGTGTCTGTGTGTTTTTTCTCCTCCTGAAGAGCCCGGTCCTGGGGGACACGAGACCTGGACCCTTGGAGCCGTCCCTCAGGACGAGTTTTCCCTCCCGAGCCCGCTTCGGACAGTCCTGGGGCCCGTGGAGGGCCCCCAGGGCCCGAAAACGGCGAAGAACCTCAGGACCCGTTCCCCTCAAGACCCGTTCCCTTCAAAACCCGTTCCCAGAGCAAGCCCATTTGGATGCCCGAGTTCGCCGGGATAACTTCTGTCCCAGGCAACTTCGGATTGAGCCCCCGAAGCGCGAATCTGTAGCTACCCCTGACTGTCCCCAGCCCTGATGATTCGGGAAGGTTGGACGCCCGAAATATCCGGGACAACTGCGGTCCGGAATAACTCTGGCTTGTGCCCCCAAGGCGCGAATCTGTAGCTGTCCCTGACTGCCCCCAACTCTGATGATTCGGGACTCCGGTCCTTGGCGCAAGCCCGGGGAGCCTGGCCATCGCTTTTTGACGAGCACGCTCGGGCGACGGCCGCAGCCGCAGGCGCCCGGGGGCAGCGCCCGACTCAGTCGGGCACCTTTGGCAGCCGCGCGATACGGCACGCAGCTAAGTCAACGAATTCTGCTGCGTTGCCCCCAGCGCAGCACAGATTTGAAGGGGCCCTGGGACACACACAAATAGATACACACAAGTAACCGGATTCCTCATATCTCCCCATCTTTTCTGGGCTCTTGTCTTCCCCCCCGCTTCCCATCCTAGTTTCCATACCTTCTGGGGAATCGACGATGAGTTGTGTCTGTGCTGTTTTTGCCCTCCTGCAAATTGCCCGGCAGCAGCAGCTCCCGCCCCCGCGCAGGCGGCTGGGCAAATCGAGCGCGCACCGATGCACCTCCACCGCGCGCAGCCGGCACGAGGGGCGGGCGCGGGCACGAGGCGGCGGCCTAGAGGAAACCCAGCGCGGTCCTCCTCGTCGTCCTCCTCCTGCTCGCTTCCTCCTCCTCCTCCTCCTCCTCCTCTCCTCCTCCTCCCCTGCCCCCTCCTCCTCCTCCTCCTCCTCCTCCTCCTCCTCCTCCTCCTCCTCCTCCTTCTCTCCTCCTTCTCTCCTCCTTCTCTCCTCCTCCTCCTCCTCCTCCTCCTCCTCCTCCTCATGCTCCTCGCTTCCTCATCCTCCTCCTCCTCCTCCCTCTCCTCCGCCTCCTCAGCGATTTCACACATGGATGAAACATCAAACGCAGCCGCTCGGATATCCATTCCACTTGCATGGTTCGGTTTCCTTCGCGTTTTACTTGCGCGGTGATCAAGGATGTTCCTCGATGGTCCTCTCCGAGAAAAAATGCAGGCGCCCGAGCGATGCCAGGAGCCAGGACAAGGACCGCCGCATCACTCCGCGGTTGCAGACAAGAGTCTCCTCCTCCTCCTCCTCCTCCTTCTCCTCCTCCTCCTCCGCGCAGGTGCGCGCCAGCGTCGCGCTGCACGCGCTGCTCGAGGGTGTCAGCACTGCTCCCAAGAGGCCCCCCAGAGCGTTCCGAAGAGACCCCACGAAGCATCCACCAAGGTTCGGACCAACAGTGCATGCACGGTGGAGGGTTGGGCCGAAGGACCTTCGTTGAACGTTGGCAGTGTTATCAGCTTGACAGGAGATATGGGGAGTGGCAAGAATAATGGATGCAGTATAACTGAAATGAGCATCGTGAAATCCCACCGGCGCTCTGGGCGTAGGTGGTCTTCGGAGTTTCCTCTTCCAACCCCGAAAATCGGTCGGCGCAACGAGAAGGGACGGGTGGGAAGGATAGGATTTCAGATTCTGTAGGCTTGCGCCACATCCGCCGACCCCTCGATCTAGTCGGGGACCTTCTATTGCTGTCCTGGGGCCTTGTTGTTTTTTGGGGGGGCGGGCTCGCCAGAACTGCGCGGAGGAGAGGGAGGAAGCGGCGAGGAGAGGGAGGGAGGGAGGAGAGGGAGGAGGTGGGAAGGATAGGATCTCAGATATTGCGCGAGCGCACCTAGCTTCCCTCAATTTTTCAAATTTTTCAACATTGCAAAAGCTTCACGGATTGAGGGCGGCTCCTTTTCATACTGTGGCTCTCACCTTAGCGCCGCGCACAGTCGTGGCGCAACATTGCAAAAGCTTGACGGAATGAGGGCGGGTGGTTTTCAAATTGTGGCTCTCGCCTTAGCGCCGCGTACATTCGTTTTACAGAGTTGCAAGAATTTCACCGATTGAAGCTCACCCCCGGCAATACAACGCTGGACCCTGGTCGCAGCAGGCTTGAATAATAATAATAATAATAAATCGCGAAACACTCAACCTTCTCTCAGCCGTGACGAATGAACAACCTGACTAACACTAACTCACCCCCCTGGAACGATAAATAACAATTCCAACGGCGCCACACGAGGGTGGTTTCTCGAACAATAACAACCCAACTTCAAACACAACACCCCACTTCGGCGAGGAATAAAGCTTTTGACGCATTGCAGAATTTTCTTATGAGCAAGTCACTCTGGCTTGGCACGACACAAGTCGTTGGACAGGGGCCCAAACCACCTCCAGAGGCCATAATATTCCCGAAAGGCCCCCCACATGCCCCCGAGATGTCCCCATAAGGCCCCCAGCCAGAAGCCCCCAAGAGGGCCCCACAAGGCCCCCGACATGGCCCCATAAGGCCCCAAGAAGCCCACCATAAGGCCCCCATAAGCACGCATACAGGCCCCGAAAGCCCCCGAGAGCGTCTTGGAAACCATTGAAGCCATGTGGCACCTTCTTGGGGGAATATCGCGGCCCCTTGGGGCTATCATGGGGCCTCCAAGGCCGCACTTTGACGATTTTGGTGTCCTTTTCTGGCCGTCTTGGGACCCCCCGGCCCCCGCTTCCCCTGAATAGTGGAACCCCCAAACAAGCACATTTTGTGGACGTCCCTCCTGGCGGGCCGGGGGTGGCTTTCTCGTGCGCAGGCCAATAAAAACAAGCCGCGGCGACGCGCCAAAAAGTAATCAAAACAGGGGGCGAACGCGGCGGGCCCGCCGAAATCTTAGACAATTGTAATTTCCGTTACTCTTTCTGGAATAATTTGGGGGGCCTCCTGGGGGCCTCTTGGGCGCTCTCGGGGGCCTCTTGGGGGCCTCTTGGGCCGCCCTTGGGGGCCTCTTGGGGGCCTCTTGGGAGCCTTTGGGGGCTTCTTGGGGGCCATCAGAAGCTCCCAGAGGGGTCAAAGAAAAAACAAAAAAACTTGGGGCTCTCTTGGGGGCCTCTTGGGGCGCTCTTGGGGGCCTCTTGGGGCGCTCTTGGGGGCCTCTTGGGGGCCTTTGGGGGCCTCTGGGGGCCGCTTGGAACCGCACGAGCAGCAGCAGCATGGAGCAGCAGCAGCAGAAGCCGACAACTGACAAATCGTGCGCAGGCAGACCCCCCACTTGGGAGAAATGGCGGGGAGTCCGATCGAAATTGACCCCCCTGGGACGATGAATAACGGCGGAAACGCTCCACCACTAACACCCCCCCCGTTGACGACTGAACCGGCTCGAATGCACTTACCGGGTCAACCCTTCATAACCAGGGGTGCTGATTGAAGGCGGCTCCTTTTTAAAATGTGGCTCTCGCCTGAGCACCGCGCACATTTGTTTTATGAAAATTATAAAGTTTCACGGGTTCGACAGATCCAGGATTATGCGGGTGTAACGATAACGTTGGCTCGCAGTGCTGAACTCCCAAGGAAGGCGTTCTGGAACGATTCAAGCTCGTTAAAACGCAACATTCATGTTGATCCGTGGCGTTGGAATCCCGAACACATTGTTCTGGCATGCTTCAGAATCTTCAACCGATGGTTTCCGACGAGGCCTCCCTCAGTGGAAATGAAACGTTATAGGAGCCTATGAAGAAAGAACTTCGAGGGACAGTTGATTCCAACCTCGTTGATGTTTTTGGGGGTTTACCTTGGTCCTCCCCTTCCTCCTCCTCCTCATCTTCCTCGTCATCCCTCCCATCCTCCCTCCCTCCTCCTCACTCCTCCCTCCTCGCCTTGATGGAGACACTGAGACGAAACCAGGACGAGAATCACATCGGATTCTGGATGCTTGGAGGACGTCTCGGCGCCGCGGTCAAGAACGGTCTGGGAGCGTTTATGAACGCTCTGGAACGGATCTGTATTCGTCCTGAGCGCGCCCGAGAAGAGACACTCCTCCGCCGGTCGTTCTCTGCGTTGTCGGCAACGCCGATCAAGAACGGAGAGCGCGACGCAGCCACGTTCAGCAACGGAGAGGGTCGAGGAGAACGAGCGGCCAAACGGGTGGCGACGCCGAGGAGAAGAGATGCCCCCGAAGAAGAAGATCGGCAACCAGGCGACACCCTGGCAGGCGAGCGCGCGGCGGGCCCTCCTCTGGCCCCGCCACGGGAGCGCCCGGGCGGCCGCGAGCGCGCACGGCCAAGCGGCC